CCTTGGAGTTCATTTCATCTATTTTTTTCTGCCTGATCCTTCTGTTTTCCTACACTTCCCATGTAACTGTCAATTTTCTATTGTCTGCTAATATTCTTAAGTGAAGATCCCTCATTATCCTCGTTGATTGCTGTTTGTATTCTGAAGATACCCATAATTACCCACCAACTAAACAGGGGGATTTAAGCCCCACTTGGAAATCAAAGCCTCAATTTACTGTGCATTTTCCCACACAGACACACCTGAGGGATAATGCTGTGGCCAGCAGCTCTACACATGCGCCTCTATGGATGACGTCTCAAATTCTTCAGTTTTTTTTTCTCTGATAGTTTTCCATGGTGCTGCTCCTAGCTCAGAGGTTCCTCCTAATCCAGTGATGGCGAACCTTTTGTGCTCGGCGTGTCAGCATTTTGAAAAACCCTAACTTAACTCTGGTGCCGTGTCACATATAGAAATTTTTTGATCTTTGCAACCATAGTAAAACAAAGACTTATATTTTTAATATTTATTTTATATATTTAAATGCCATTTAACAAAGAAAAATCAACCAAAAAATGAGTGCGCGTGTCACCTCTGACACACGAGTCATAAGTTCGCCATCACTGTCCTAAGCAACTGCTTGGCTTCAGGGTGCCTCCCCTAGGCCCTCTGGCTTTGTGTCTCCTTTGATCTGTGCCTCAGGTGAATAGCTTTGTACCCCTGCCAAATAGCTAGCCTTTCAGATTTTGCCCCTTCAGCCCAGGAGGTCTTCTCAGAATTCTCTCACTGTCACCTGACTCACTGAACAGTGTTTGCAAGCCTTTAGGTCCCAGCGCCTTCTTTTGGCTTGCTGTACATTTTATTGTTTGTTATATATTATTTCTAGATAATGTTCTTTAGGTTTGTGACATGAGGTTTGTAATGTTCTCAGTTTCAATAAAACTAACAATTTCTTCTTTTTTTGGTTAATTTCTATAATTTTGGAGGTTTGTAAACATATGGCTAGCCACTATCTTTCTGGAAGTCTATCAATGTATGATTTATACTTGAATTATTTATCAAATTTAGTAAGAGAGGAAAAAAAATATGTTCCTATGTAAAGGAAATTTAAAAATTCATGAAAATGATGTATTAATAATTATTAATATGCAAACATATGTATCTCCATATATGCGCCAGCATTTTTCTTGTTCTTAGCATTATCTCAGCATCACTTAATTCAGATGTTAAAAGAGATGCCAGTAACTCTCATGTTTTAAGTAAGCTGCAGACTGCCACTTACTAAGCAATTAGAAGAAACCCAGTTGAAGCTCTTAGCACATTACCCAGTCACATGTAAATTAGGGTAGGTTGGGAATAGAAAAGGATTTTTGGAAGGAGTTCTGTTGTGGCAGAAACATGGGAGTATATCCTCTCATGTCAAGCCCGAAGAAAGAGGCTTAGGAGAGACCACTCAGAAATTTGCATCTCTTGGCATTTTGGGGACACAGTGAACTGGTATCTAGTTCATTTCTGATAAGGGACTACCTGGCTAGCTGCTCTATGCCAGAGAAGTTGCCACACTGAAGATAATCTCTCCTTCCAGTATTTGTTGGTGGCAAAGAATGCTTGATCCGGTCCATGGACCAGATGTGAGTCCCATGTGAGAGTATTTCTTACCCGATCAAGAAGGCATTTGGTGGGTGAGGATTCCCACAGAATATATGAGTGTGAAATGTACTGAGGAAAGATTTGTGAGCAACCAGCAAGAGAATGTTTTCATTCAATTCATGGCAACCACAAATGGGACACATAGCAATTAAATATTTTCCAGACTGCAACTGTTCTGTCCCCTCCCCTTGCATTTCTGATCCCTTTTACTTGCTCAATTTTATTTTCCTAGTATGTACCTTCTAACATACCATATCAGTTATGCTCCATATACACAGGGAACTATGTGTAGGTCGTTGACATATCCCAGTCACCAGAATAATACTTGGGTCATGATATGTACTAAAGAAATAGTTGTTGAAGGACTTGAAGGGTTCTTCAAAGAGCAATGAAAGAAATCATGAAAGTAAAAATTGCAGACTTTCCATGCTCAGGCCCCAGGGTGAGAACCTAGTGATCTAAGACCACTCAAGTCGAACATTTCCTCTCTGACTTTCCCTTTCTGTCCACTCCTCCACACTGACCTACAATTCTGCAGAGGCCACAGATAGCCTCATCAGTGGGCAACTAGGAATAAAAACCCCTAAAAGGGTTACTAGAGAAGAAACCGACTTCTTTCTCAGTATAGGTAACCTGCCCCAGGAATACCTGGGCTGAAAGAAGGTAAAGCTTTAATTGTAAATAAACTTAATTGTTATTATTAGTATTATTAATACTACACTAGACTGAACATATTAAAGAAATAAATGGTTCAGAAACTAGCAATAACTGAAGGAATATTTGGTTACCTAAATTTGACCTGAAAAGTCACTGGGGCTGCAAAAAATTTCATCCAAATGCATCATGGGTTTTGTGTGGATACACTTCTAATTATATTCTACAAGCTCTGTTTATTGTATAGACCAGGAACATTGGCAGGTTAAAAGCACTCATTTTGTTTTTCTCACTGTAGCACTTTACATCCTGTCAAAATCCTGACCATCTTTTCATGGACATGGTTGAGGCTGTTTCTTCACAGTGGTCGGCTAACTGGGGCTCGCAAGCCACATGCAGCTCTTTGGCCCCTCGAGTGTGGCTCTTCCTAAGCCTTAGGAGTACCCTAATTAAGTTAATAACAATGTACCTACTCTATAGTTTAAGTTTAAAAAATTTGGCTCTCAAAAGAAATTTCAATCGTTGTACTGTTGATATTTGGCTCTGTTGACTAATGAGTTTGCCAACCACTGTAACATCATTGGCAATTCAACTCCCAAGTCTATATCCAGCAGCCCTCATTTTCCAGCATGTAACAAAGTACACAACTTATATTAAACACTTAATAAATGGTTGGTTAGTAAATGAATTAATAAGTGATAGGACATCTTGAGATTAGAAAGTTTTAGGAGCGGAAGGAGGGGCAAATTATTATTAAGTGTGTGAGAGTTAAAGTTAGGTAAATAAAATGGGTGACTACATGTTCATTTATTGAATACCCAATAAAGGCCCAATCAGTTTTTCTTTAAAGAATGAATGAATGAAAACTAACACAGATGAATTGTGAAAAATGGCTACACATGTATAGGGAAGATAAAAAAAACCCACAGGTTTATTGATTTGTCTATTCATCTCTATTCATGTCAATAAAATGGATATGTACATTTGTCTCTATTTTTTTTTTCAGGTGATCCTTGTCTTTGTACTAAGCATTGGGTCTCTTATAATCTATTTCATCAATTCTTCTGAGTGAGTAAAATCTGCAGTCACCTGTGTCTGTTTTAACATAAGATTACCCTTGAATTCAGAATTTTCTTTCAGGAAAAATGGTTAATATACTTTCAAACATATTCCCATACACAAGCTCATTAAAAAGGATAAGTGTTTAATTCCCCCCAGAAAACACTAAAACCAACTCCACAAAAAATACATGAATTGTTTCTGCATCCTGCCAAACTGCATTGCTAGAGGCTGGGGTGCCATGCCCGTGTCTACTCCCTAGTCTCTAGGACTGCAAACCTCCAGCTGTTGTCTTCTCCTTTGGGCCACATAGGAGGGCTTTCTTTATATGCCTTTGGACTCTTTTGATGTTGAAGTGGAAGTTCTGTGGTCATTTCAATATTGCTTATAGATTTCAAACAACTTTGGGTAGTCGTGAGAAAGGAAAATGCTAGACCTCACCTGGGATAAAGGAGCAAATTATTGTCTGCTCTTCACAGAAGGCATTTCCTTCTTTTATGACAAAGCAAAGATGGTTTCTTGAACAGAATCCAATCTAATCTGAACCCAATGCTGATCCTCTGGGAATTTCCTTGGATTTCTAGCTGAAGTAAAATTGGGATTGTAGGGCCCAGAAGTTGGGCAGCTTTAGAGATACTAGGGAAACTAGAAGTCTTTGCTTTCTGAATTCCTTACTGATCTTTTAGGAAATTTTTTTTTTAATTTGGCTTGAGTCAGTTCATTTGACCTAGAGTAGCTCTGTGTTTGAAGGGTACAGAATCCTAAACTTCTTGCTGGGCAGAGGGTCATGCAAACTAAGAAGAGCTACGTAATCTCTAGGCCTCTGAATCCCCGCTGATAAAACTGAAATAGAAGCAATAAACACTAGGAAAGAAAGAGCAGGTAATTTTCCTTTTATTTTCAGCTCCATGCACAGTCTAGTGCTTTTATGTATGCATACCTCTACTCCCAAGATACAATAAATTTCCTTGAGATATGAACTTAAGTGTCATTGTGAATAAATAAAAAATTCCCTACCCTTCCTTTTAATTTGGTTCAATGTAGACACAGCTTTTAAAATGCATGTCTTTATAAACTGTCCTTGTTTCCTTTGCAGCCCTGTTGGAAGCTGTTCTTCATATGAGGACAAAACCATCCCCATTGATTTGACTTTCAATGCTTTCTTTACTTTCTATTTTGGGTTGAGAGTAAGTACCTGTTGGAAGTGGGAGTAAATAGACAAACAAAACAGGTACAACACAGAGAGATCTGTGTGTGCCTTGGTTATACAATTGGCCTACGTTGTCAGGCGCTAGAGTTAGAGGGTCTGTGTCCTAAGTTGTTAAAAGTATAGTGAGACAAAATAGCTCTCTCACCTGCATCTGAAGCTGTCAACCAGGCCAAAAATTCTGACACAAATGAAAATGATTTTTTAAAAAATATCATCACCCGGTAACACTGCCCTCCTTATTGGCTTTCCACCTACCTTGAGAAAGCTTTAGTAATAATCACAAGCTAGCAGAACCTGAATAACAAGCCTCTGAAAATGTCATTGGCTTCACTGATGGCTGATGTGCCATTAACTGTATAAAATACTTTTTTTTCTATTTATGCATCCCATGTTTTTATATACATACTAGAGGCCTAGTGCACATAATTCATGCATGGGTAAGGTCCCTAGGCCTGGCCAGTGATCAGGGCCCATCAGGGACTTCTGGCTGCTGGCTGGGGCCTGCCTTTGCTCCGTGCATGTCATAGGGAGTGATCAAACTCCCAGTCTCCTGGTCGAGCTCCCAAGGGGACAATTTGTATATTAGGCTTTTATATAGATAGATCAAAGGTATGTTACACATATTCTTATAATGTGTATTTCTATGACTGTCCTTCAACACAGACTCTGACCACATTGACCATCAAAATATTATTTTTATAGCAAACTCTCCCTTCTGGGAATGCTCACTTTCTTATCTAAATAGAGAAGCTCATAAATAAATACAGGTCTTGGCCAGCCATACTTGTAGATAACTCTACCTTTTCCATGAAGACTACCTTAAATCATGTTTCCTCTTTGCTCACAAATAGAGGGTTTTAGCTCTATAATTATAAATCTCTGGGAATGGCAAAAAGGTCAGAATATGAGACTTTAAGTTCCAGTAAACAAAATGGGTTCATGTTCATTTATTGAAAATTTACTAAAGGTACAATCCTTATGTCTACATAAATGTACTACATATAAATGTATGTAAGCATACATCATGTAGCTATGTAAAAATATATGTATGTGCATATATGTGTGTGTGTATATATGTATATAATAGAATTAGATCAAAACTCTAGTTAATGAATGAAATGTAGCTGAATAAAGGCACTCTAGTGTTCATTTTAAAATTCTTGAGGGTAATTGGATTTGGGTCTTTTGTTTTCATTTCATAGTTTTTGGCAGCGGATGACAAGATCAGGTTCTGGTTAGAGATGAACTCAATTGTAGACATCTTTACCATCCCACCAACATTTATTTCTTATTATTTGAAGAGTAATTGGCTTGGTAAGTATAAAGTTGGAATCAGAAACACTCCCTTAACAATCATTCATACATATCCTTCATTTTCCTTTGTAATGCCCAAATGCCACTTAAAAAAGTTCATCACTGTTCTTGTATGGTTTTGTAATATATTTTCAGAACTCTCTCCTTTTTTTTTTTTTAAACCTCAGTACCTAGAAATGTAATGTACCTGATGCACAGAAGGTGTCGGTGTTTGTTATTGTTAATAGACTGGCTCATCCACAACCTGAGAGGCAAGGCCCCAGCCTCCCATCCCCCTGTGGCCCCTTTGTGCTGGGATCCCACATGGACAAGGAGAGATGAAAAAAACCTCTCTTGGTCTTTGAAAGCTGTAGATCATCATATCTAGACATGGTATAACATACTAGAGATTTATATAGTTACTTAGTCTTTAAGGTGGACACTGCATGGGAGTTATATGGCTTTTTCTAATTTTGTGTAATTTTATTTATTATCTATAAAATATTTCTTGCTATCATTATTACAAACTACATAAAGGAAAGCATCATACAAATGTGAGGAGCATATCATAGACATCCTGTAGTCAGAAGTTTAAGTGGTTTATAGATAATTTGTTTTTTATTCTAAGGAAGAATTAAGTAGAGTGAAATGTGAGTAGTGCTTTTATATGCTTTCTGTTAGCTCAACAGCCATAGGTACTTATAATTCCCATTTTACAGATGAAGAGCTAGAGAAGTTGAGGGCATTGCTTTAGATTATAACACCTATTAAGGGTTGGGGCTAGGATTTGAACTAGAACTCATATTCTTAAATCTATAATGTTATAATATACTAGAGACCTGGCACACAAAATTTGTGCATGGGTACGGTCCCTAGGCCTGGCCTGCGATCAAGGCCATCTTCCCTGGCTGCCCTCAGCTGACCCTGCCCCCGCCACCACCCACCCTGGTGATCAGAACCTGACGACTGGGGGAAGGGACCCAGAGGTTGGCTGTTTGCGCCTGCTTGACAGGCCCGCCCCCAGCACAGATTGCCCTCTGTGTGTGGGGCAACTGGCAGGGCAGGGGCCTTGGCCTGGCACCACCCACATCCCCTGCCACCAACCCCTGGCTTCCTGTTCGCCATCAGGTGATCGGAGCCTGCTGGCCAGGGAGAGGGACCAAGAGGTGGTCAGTGCACCTCATGGTGACTGGTTGAGTGGTCATTCTGGTTGTTTGCTGTTAGGGTCAATTTGCATATTATCCTTTTATTATATAGGATAGAGGCCTGTGCACAGGTGAGGGCCAGCTGGCCTGCCCTGATGGGAGCCCCGGATAAGGGTGGGGGTCCCTGCGGAGGGGCAGGGCCAGCCAGGGTGAGGAGCTGTGGGCAGTTTGCATGACGGCCATGCCCCCAATCGGGTAGGGGGTCCCCTCTGGGGAGCGGGGCTGGCCGGGGCAAGGGGCCGCAGTCATTCTGGTCTCTGGTCGTTCTGCCATTTTGGTTGTTGGGCTTTTATTATGTAGGATTATATTTGAGTATTTCAAGGAGAGGAAGAGTGTAACTACTCCCCATTGTATTATAATTCTCACTCTCTGGAGTAACCCTCTTCTTTTGGCAGCATTCTTCTTTCTATTGCTTTCTAGGTTTAAGGTTCCTAAGAGCATTGCGGCTGCTAGAACTCCCTCAAATCTTGCAAATGCTGAGAGCCATCAAGACCAGGTAAATGCCCTTCCTCAAATACTACTCACTTACTGTTTTGGACTAGGAAATGAAAATGCTAACTACACCTTCAATTCAACTAATTTCTCATCAGAATTTCAAGGTAAAAATCACAAAATCCCATAGCTGCCAATATTGTATTCATTCACTTCCTCCCACTGTGTTAACATCACACACTAGCTGAAAAGTTTGCAATCATTTTGAAGGTTTTGTTTCTTCTTTGTTTTGTAGAGCCGCAATGTGTAAGTCCATTTAGGCTGTGATTCCCCTACCACCACTACCCAAATAAAAACTCAGAACAATTCAGAGGCTTTGGTTCTATACATTTGCAGTTATGAATCATGTCTTTCCTGGCTAGGACCTAAGAGCATGAGAGGTGCCCAATAGCAGCAGGGAACTATTGCTTACAAATGTCCCAAAAAATAATTCAAACTACCTTTGAGCAGCAATATAGTAGTACTTCTAAAGTTTTAGCAGGATGGTCTTATGTTACCCACTCAAAATTTCCATGCGTCTCTATGTTCTCACCAGAAACATCAATATTACAGGCCAGGCAGACTTTACTTCTAAATGTTTATGCATGATGGAGCATTCAAGATGGTAAAAGGCTGTCCTTGTGTGATAGGTGGACATACCTGGAAACCACAGAGATTTCAGATAAATGCTAGGGCTTCATTTAAGAGACAGGAGCTTATCTGATCCTCTTTACTCAAAGGTCCTGGGCTGAGGCTGGCAATATGGAACTACAGTTCTGTGACCTACTCAGTATCATTGTGCAAGCCCACTCTGAATGCCTGGGCCACTGACATCTGTACAATTCCTCTAGACAATGTAGCAATTTATTAAATTTATTTTATGACGATACATATATGATAGGTTTTAAACACAGTATAACATTAGGCCAGTGGATAACATAGCAAAATCTAAGGTTTTTCAGCAAGTGTATGTAACTGGGTGTGTGCATCTTCAACGCTAACATGTGTATGAATCAGAGGACCCTATAACACCACAGATCTCTAGACCAGGGGCAGGGCCTGGGATTCTGCATTAACACGCTCCCAGGTGAGCGTATCCTTGTGTCAGGTCCATGAGCCCTACTGTGAGTAGCAAGATTTTAGAGGATGAGGCAATTGTGTTGTGCTGGGAACTGTCAGAACCCAAAAGCTCTTTGTCTTTCTTCCTCTAGCAATGCATTGAAGTTTTCCAAACTGTTATCCATAGTTTTCAGTACCTGGTTCACGGCTGCAGGATTCATTCACTTGGTAAGCATCTCATCACACTCTCTATAATGGTGCCGGTCATCATAAATGTCTTTTCTTTAAAAAATGAGGGTAATCCTTCTGAGCTCCTGTCTCCATCACTGTAACTGGTGTGAAGTTTATCTTTCTACTTCCCTTTTCAGGGTTTTCTCCACTCCCATATTTATGACAAATACGTATCTCCTACCCTCAAGGTATCTATGTTACTTCTTCCAGCTTTCAAAACCTACACTCGGAAAAGGATCTAACAAAGCTTACCCTTCAAAGGTATAAGCAATAGGGAAAATTTATTTCTGCATCTTCATAAGGGTTCCAGAATTTTTAAAAAGAATAAAAAGTCAAGTAAGTGAAGCCACTGATAGAATTTAAGGATAAAAGCTGGAGAATTGCGGGGGAAGTGTTGCTGAGTTGCAAAGGGGAGTTTTGGGGATTTATTTGTTCTCCTGAAATAAATCTATATACATAGCTGCCTCCTTTGCCTAATGTTAAGGCTAGTTTTTAGCCCACATTAATATAATAAATGGATTTCAGCAATAGGAAAGAAATTCCTAGAAAATGCAGAAATTGAAGTGGGATGTTAAAAGCCTACAGAGGCCTTTGAGAAAAGCAAAGCAAAACAACAACAACAAAAAATGTAGGAGTTTTCTCATGAGGCCTTCTCTCAAAATTAAAGCAGTAACAAGAAAAATGTTAAACTCCAAATGCAAATTGTGATATATGAACCTTCAAGAAAATCTGAAACCAGCCCTAACTGGTTTGGCTCAGTGGATAGAGCGTTGGCCTGCGGACTGAAAGGTCTCAGGTTCGATTCCGTGTCAAGGGCATGTACCTTGGTTGCGGGCACATCTCCAGTAGGAGGTGTGCAGGAGGAAGCTGATCAATGTTTCTTTCTCATCGGTGTTTCTAACTCTCTATCCCTCTCCCTTCCTCTCTGTAAAAAAATCAATAAAATTAAAAAAAAAATCTGAAACCAGCCATTTCCCTTCTCAGCACTGAAGCAAGCAGGCAAGAGATTCTCCTGAAAGAAGTGTCACAGCAGTAAGGCAGGTCTCTGGAGCCAGAGGGTTGGTCCTGGGGGCATGGGATTCCCACTGGAGAAGTGTCTCTGTAGAGACCTGTTGGCCATCACAGAATCAGAGGAAGAGAATGCTAAGCAGAAACCATGGCAACAGGACTTTTTGCCTTCAATAGTGGTTCCAATGAGAGGCTCTCAGGCTGAATGTGGCCTATAGTCACATTTCATTTGCCTTACTTATGTTTGTATTTTACTTTTATTGCTTGCTAACTTTTATGGAGAACTCACATAAAAACCCAGATTTCTGGAGTTTTAGAAAAAATACAAGGTTCTGGAACCCATTCTACCAAGGCCATCAACAGTCCTAGTCAAAGACTAGCTGTTCCCTGTAAGTGGCATGTGCTCCTGAGTTGGACACCATCTCTGCCAGGCTTATTGAACCATTCAAGTTTTCTGCTTTATCCTTCTAAGCATGTGAATATGTGTCCTTGTTGGGCAACCAGTCCCCCAGGCAAGGAGACCTCCAGCAAGGGTGCATGTAGAGCAAGGAGAAGCAACCAGATAGCTTGTGACTTAAAGGGACCCACTGTAAATCACACTAACATCTGGAATGTTAAAAACCCAGAGAAAAGAAAATGGCAGATTTTGCTGAGAGGATATTTGGAATTACAAACCAAAATAAAAGCTATCATTGTCCCAACCTCACCAACTTCCCATACTCACAGCTAAAAGTCGATGTCATTCAAAGGTGAACATTAACCAGAAAGTAATCAACGTGATGCCTATCCTCAAATTCTTCTGGAAGTAGCAAGAGGGTATGATGGACAGCAGACATTAAGGCAACAACAGTTGCATAATATAGCAGCTACAAGAACAACAAATTAAAGGATGATTTGTCCAAGGAAACAAAGGTTTTTAAAAATATGTTTATATTTGATTAAAAAAATACAAAGTGCTTTAAAAACTAAAAATGATATTCCAAACAAAATATATATGATTTTAAATAAAAGAATATTAAACAGTAACAGGAGTTAAAATGGGCTAAAAGTATCCAAGGAAAAAGTATCGTAGAGCTGAAAAACCACATTAGGGAGAACTGGCATTTAATAAATGTGGCAAAAACTGTTCAGAGACACAGTGGGCAGGATTGAGGCAAAAACACTGACATGGAAAAGACTAAAGACATTCAAATAAATTTTGAGGAGAAACATGGAAGATGGGCACTCTGGATTCAGCATACTATTAAACTAGTGTTTCTGAAGAAGAAAAGGACACACAAAAATGGCATCAGAAAAAATATTTAAAATGAAGTTTTGAATTTGTAGATTAAAAGATATACTGAATCCAGGAAAAATAACCCTAAATTATTTATCCCAACTATATTTTGGAGCAATTTACCAACCTTTGAAGATAAGGAGAGAATCCAAGCAGAACAAAGCACAGTCTATAAAAGGGGGATAAAAATCAAACTAGCCTCAGATTTCTTGGAAGCATCAATCAATACAGGAGGATGATAGAGCAGTGTCTGCAAAGTTTGTGTGAAAGAAAGTGCAACCTATTCTGTCATTTTATGCAGGTGGAGAAAATCACACCTATGAACCCCTTTAAAAAAATGTGTCTTAATGATAAAATCCAACCAGAGGAGATGAATCAAAACTAAGAACTCAAGAATGAAGAAACCCTGGGGGAGGCTAGGGGACTGTCTTGGGCGGGGGGAAAAATGGACACATATGTAATACCCTTTGTAATAAATAATAAAATTTAAAAAAAAAAGAGAATGAAGAAACCATAATAAAAATTAGTGGTGGTGATTATTGGATGACTTTAAAATAGAACTAAGGCATAATTAAGGGAATTGTTGATATGACCAGAACTCACATATGCAATCCTGTATAATAAAAGGCTAATATGCAAATTGTCCCCTCAGGAGTTCGACCGAGAGTTCAATCGCTCGCTATGACGTGCGCTGACCACCAGGGGGTGGCGCAGAACATGAAGGATGACCAGTGGTGGCAGTGGGGTGTTGAAGGAGCAAGGAAAGGAGTAGGTGGGGAGGCGGGAGGTGGAGAACCTGATCAGCCCTGATCACTTGCCAGGACTAGGGACCCTACCCATGCATGAATTTTATGAACTGGGCCTCTAGTGCAAAAATAATGTAACTAATACAAATGATGTGGAGGTAGGAGATGGGATTGTGTCCTTGTATCCTCTACTTACATAGCACATTAATCTAAAATTGAAACACAGAATTTAAAAACATAAAAATTCAGTTGCTTTGTGAGTTAAACATTAAAGGATTAAATTATTGTGAAGGCAATTTCCAGGTTGAAATAAATTTATTTTTAGTTTGTACATGTTGTACAAGGATGTGATTGAAACCATGTGCTAAGTTGTTATTAAAAGAAACTGTAGGGTTTTACTTAAAGGGAACAGTCACAAGTAACTCTTGTATGTCTGGGTAAAATATACTATATATCTGTTTTTCTTGTAGTACAACTAGAGACCCGGTGCATGGCCTGGTCTGCACCCTCTCGCAATCTGGGACCCCTCGGGGTATGTCTGATTTCAGCCTGATTCCCGCAGGCCAGGCCAAGGGACACCCACCAGTGCACGAATCTGTGCTCTGAGCCTCTAGTATGCATATAAGATCTTTGGTTAATCTCTTCCCACCTTCCCCCTCCCCCCTTCCCTTTGAGATTCATCAGTCTGTTCCATGTTTCCATGCCTGTGCATTGAGCATCTGCCCCATGGTGGTCAGTGCACGTTATAGCTATCAGTCTAACGGTCGCTTAGGGTTTTATATATAGAGATAGTCTCAGAAAAGTGTGAAGGCTCCAGAAGTCAGTAGAAACAGATTCTACTACCAGCTATGAGAACTAAGTATAGACATACAATTTCTTACATATTTCAGAGTGGGAGTCCACACTCATAACCTGCTCATCAAACCTAAAAAAAGGTCAGCATTGAGAATACATATCACTTTTACAAAGTGATCATGTGCCTGAAAAAACTACATTATTTCTAATTTCTACTCCAGTTCTTAAAAGCAAAACAAAAAACCTACTTTCTCCAGACATCTTTAGTATTTTATCATTTTTGTGTCAAATAGAAAAGGAAAATAGCTAGGAAATATGTAAGCTATTTGGAAACATGTCTAAAAATGTAAAAAAGGGAAAATTGTATATATTCTATATCATTGTTATGTTATTTGTAATATATGCTATATATTTTTAATAAGTTTATATATATACTATATATACATAAAGTATAAGGTCATTGCCTAAGTTGCTCTTTTTATTTAATATAAAAAAGGTAACCTGATATATTTAGTTCCCTTAAAACATGGAGATTTAGGGGGGGAAGTCAGATGAAATTTTTTTCAGAGTTCTTTTTAATCGCTGAAGAAATATTTTTGGGGAGTAGGGGAAGTAACCTGGGAAACTTGTTTACTTTTCCTTAGACACTTGCTTTTATGAAGTTAAGTTCACTGAAATGAAGTGCTTATTTGAGTGCTTCTTTCTTTAATGATAGATAAACCTGATCTGGTGAAAAATGAGAATGAATAGTAATTACTAAATCTAGAGCCTTTGGTGTCCATGATGGCTCCAGGATGTGGTGATATGCCCACATGAAAAGAGATTTGGGCAATAAATTTCACTAGGGAGCATTCCAAATGTGAGCTCAAGCTATATGCCCCCTTAGATTTCAGCAATGATCACAGTGAAAAAAAAAAACACTCACCAAGACTTCACAATCACTACCCCAATTTACCAACCCTTCAAAGCCATATAGGAATCATTTATTTCATTTGTATTGAATTAAGTGATTTTGCTTATTTTTTGTAAACTTTCCCTTGGATTCCATTTCCTGAATTCTTTTCTCTTTTGACAGGTGGAAAATTCTGGTGATCCCTGGCTCAAGGGTAGAAATTCACAGAACTTAACATATTTTGATTCCATTTACCTGGTCATGGCAACAACATCAACTGTTGGCTTTGGAGATGTGGTAGCCAAGACATCCCTAGGACGGACCTTCATCATGTTCTTCACTCTGGGGAGTTTGGTGAAGAATATTTTCAATATCTTTTGACTGTAGCTAGAAGTGAAAGGCATTTGGTTAATGGTGAGAAAAAAGCAGTATAATCTTGAGAGTGAATGTTACATTATCAGGTGTCAAATGAATATGAAAAGATATATGGATCCCATGTTTTTCCAAACTGCAATCCCTGGAGCACGTGATGTAATTGCTTGGTTGCCAGCGATGAGGATGATCAGCAAAGGAGAGTAGATTTTTCTTATTAGACTCTACATTGACTTGAGCACCCCTGTCTTTCTTCATCTTTTGCCCATCAGATTAAAGTCTTTATTCTAAAGGGGAAGGGAAATTGAGATTTGATCTGAAGGAAGTTCTATTCCTTCCAGCTCAGATGAATAAGCTCTCCAAACCAGCATTTTCCTTCAGATAAGGGAACATCTGTGCATGACTCAGCAGTGTGTATAAAGTTTCTAATTTTAATTCCTTCAAACCATACCACGTTCTCCACTTCACCTTCCTGATATTACATTGTCCACACTGCTACATCCCTCATTTCATTTTCCCTTAACTTTGCTGTCCCATATAGCTTTTCCCACGAAGTCCTAAATAATAGCAAGTTGAAGGGCACTTTGTAGTGATGAGGGGACAGAATGTGTAGGAAGGTTGCCTTTCTGCTTATCCTTCCTTCATTGTTTTCACCATTTTGAATTCAGGAAAGCATTTTATTCCATTTTAATCAAATGCAAAGGCTGAAATAATAAAGAAACATGTTCTTTCTTTAAAAATATAGTTCACAGTGTTACCCCTCATGAATTAGACAACATTTTGTGTACCTTCTTTCTCCTTTATAATCTCAGTCTCCTTTAAAATGATGAGACCTAAGGTTTTTATTTGCTGATTATTTTAGATACTATTTGCGAACTATATCCCTGAGATCGTGGAACTCTTTCTTACCAAGAAGACATACACCAGTTCCTATGAAGCGCTCAAAGGAAAGAAGTAAGTAGCTTTTGAGTATAATTTCTACAGTTTGAGATATTCTACTAATCACAGACCTCTTTCTAAACACCTATTGCTCAACCTAGGTGAATATATTGGCAGGATCATTCATTTACTAAAGAGGTTTGTGCTAAAATAAATACCAAGAAGATAATATTTGCTACTTGATACAAACTACTATGTAGATGCCCATAAGGGCTTTAAGTCAACTTGAAATGACAGATAATGTTGTCATTCACTGTCAAATATTGATTGTGATAATATTTGGACCTTCCTTATCACTATCTATTCTCTTATTTCCATTACTAATTTTCTTATTCATGTTAAGCATGTTGTTAACTCAGGCTAATTTTACATAATAGATCAAATTAAAGCCACAGTTTGAATTTAAAATAATTCAGTTGTCTTAGCCTAAACTCCCTTAAACCATATGGGGCTCATTCATAGGCAGAGGTTTGCTGGAGTGAGGAGCAATTTCAGCCTTTTCACCAGAACTTCATAGATCTCCTTTGTTCATGCCACAGTCATTTGTTCCCAGGAGGAAAACAGACTTGTTTTTACCTTTTCTCTCTGTGGATATATGTTATCTCAGTTTCCATTATGCTTTTTCACATCTTAGGAAAAAAAACGCAGAGATCTTACATTTGAAGTGATTCTTTTTAATCTTGTCTCTATCCACTGTAGAGGAAAGAGGCACAATGTAGGTAAATTCTCCTGGTTTGGTCTCTTAACATAGTGGATGAAAACCAAGACAGACTGAGGACTAAGAAAATAGTGCAATGAATGAAAATAATGAAATAAACTAGTTAAGCCAAAGTTTGACCCAGTCTATCTCAGGAAAGTGATATGTAACCCACACTAAATCAGCCAGTAAAGTCTAGAAAACATAAGGTAAATGCCCTACAATTATGCTTTTCATTTTCTTAATTGATTAGTAGAGGGAAAAGCATATATATATATATAGGATATATAGGATATATATATATATATATATATACTAAGGAAATTGATAGCTAGTTTCCACCATAAAAGCTACATGCTTATATTTTTGCACCTGTCCTAGGTGTCTCTCCATTGCAGTCGCTTTTTGTGACTACTAGATAATTTTACATGCAGAAGATAAATACAGATAACTTAGATTCTAGTGCTGTCTCAGCCACAGCATTTAACTATGGGAAACTCAATTAAATACTCTGAGCCTCAATTATTCCTCAATGAAGAAATGTCGTGATCAGCAAATCAGGAACCAAGTGCAAAGTTAAATCAGATTACACATTTCAAGTCTGTTATAAGTTACAAATAACCATAAAAACCAAGCAGTTATGAAAGATATTGTTGTATTCAATATCTACACAGCTACATGTAATTCTAATGTGTGGAGTTATACCCTGTATGAGATGAACTGGAGATGACAGAAGTCTGGCACTGCTTTTGTTATAATGGAGATGCAGTCCTGGGTGTTTCCACTTTCAAAATCTGGGTGATTCAAATACTAAATGTATTTAAAACTAAGTTTAAGCCCTAGCCAGTTTAACTCAGTGGTCGGTCCGTCAGCCTGTGGACTGAAAGGTCTTAGGTTCAATTCTGGTCAAGGGCATGTAGCTTGGCTGTAGGCTCAATCCCCGGCCTGGTGAGGGCTGGAGTGGAAGGCAACCAATCAATGTTTGAAACAATGATTGAAACATTCTGGTCTCTCTCACATCGATGTTTCTCTTTCCGTGTCTCTCCCCTTCCCTTCCACTTTCTTTAAAAATCAATGGAAAAAAGATCCTGGGGTGAGGATCAACAAAAATAAGACAAAATCCTAAGTTTAAGCTACTTTTCTACTTCTAAATCTAGACAGGAAGATATTTCTGTTCCTCAGATGATCCAGCTAATATGTTCTTGCTACCCAGGTTCATTGTGGTTTGTGGAAACATCACTGTCGACAGTGTGACTGCTTTCCTGAGGAATTTTCTTCGTCATAAGTCAGGGGAGATCCACACTGAGATTGTTTTTCTGGGAGAGTAAGTATATCTGTTTGGCTCATAGGCTCTAAATTTATACTTGAAATATGTGTGGATATTTTTAATGGGAGAAAATGACCCTTGTAATATTCATAGAAAAATTAGGAAATAATAAGAAGCAAAAAGAAAAGGAAAAGCAATCCCATGATCAGAGGTAACTTCTGAAAAAAATTGAGAATATATTTTGCCAGATGTTTTTCTGTATATGTACTATTATGTGATTACAGATCATTAAGTTATTCTATACTGATTACTCATATATATGACCATAATTTTGCCCACATGTCTAGCATTCTTCATAATTATAATTCTAACTCTTAATTAACAGGATTGGAAATCTAAAGTTCAAATAGATGATATTTTCGTTCTATGCAGTTTACATTTTCACAAGCAGAATCCAAGTCAAATATTTGTAAAACACTGGGAAATACATATTTAATACAAAAAGACTTTAAAGTAGGCAAAATGATTTCTAATTGTCTTATTTTACAATTTTGGTTCCCAGTGAAATGGAACATTTTTTGTGCATTTTGAAATTCCTCTTTGTATTTTTACTCTATTTTCTATCAGGTTGACCATCTGTTATTTTACTGGATTTTGAGCACTCAGTGTATTGTAATATTAACTGTTTTATGTCATATATTATAAATATGTTTTCCCTTTTTGCCCTTTAATTTTGTGTGCTTTCATTTTAATATAGTATTTGATTTACATGTACTTTAATCCATCCACTTCTTTTTGTTGTTGTTGTTTATTTCTTGTTTTTCTTACATCCTTGGGCCTCTGTGTTTTAGTATATAGTAAATGTTTCTCTAGGATTTCCATGTTTTCATATGGAAATTTTCTATATTTAAGCTCTCTGGAATTGATTTAGTGTAATATGAAAGGATTTAGCTTCCTTTCCCCCCAAATGGTTAATAAGTTATTTAGACATCACTCAATAAATAAATAAGACAGATTAGACGTGACATTTTTATCTCATAAAGGAATGTATATAAGATTCACACCAACCTTTACATATTTTGTTGTTAAAGCAGAAACCTAAGTATTGTCTTTGATACTCCTGTCTCCCTCAAATCCTATGTATACTTTCATCAATATCATCTGTTTTGTCTCTTAAGTAAATTCTAATTCTATTTCTACCATTTTATTTCCACTATTAACAATCCTGTTCAAAGTTAATATCTAATCTCTCGTGTATCTCTATAAAGGCCACTTTATTGATTGATTCTTTTTGCTAAGAATTTCTTCTACCTTTATATGACCAGTTTATTTTCATCCTTCAGCACCGAGAGAGACCTTCTCTATTCAACCAATCTAAATGAGTGTTTTCTAATCCTTCTGTCGCTTTACTCTGTTATATTTCCTTTAAAGCACTTATCACCATCTGTAATTGTGGTAGATTTTCCTTTAATACAGCTATTAATATTTCCTTCCCTTACTGTTCTTTCATTCTGGTCCTCTCAATAAAAGATGGAGTCTCTTTCTCATCCCTTTGAATCTGAACTGGCTAGTGACTTGATTTGATAAATTGAATGCAGCAGAGGGGGCACTTTGTTAGTTCCAGGCCTATAGCCTTTAAGAGGACTTGGCAGCTTCAACTTTCACTCCAAGAGAGTTTTAAGCCCTAAGCCATCATGTAAAAAGTCAGACTAGTTTGCTTGGGGAGGAGGCCCATGAAGCTCTCACCTGCTCCAGGCTGGTAGCTGAGGCAGCAGTCACGTGTATAAAGTCATTTTGGTCATTTGAGCTCCCAAACGCTCTGATGAATGTACCCACATGAATGGCCACAGTCAATACTATGTGGAATTACATTGCTGAGACCAGCCAACCACAAAATCATGAGAAATAATATATTATTGCTGTTTTAGATTAAGAAGTTCTAGAAGGGTTTGTTTTACAGAAACAAAACATGGTAGTGGAAGTGGGGTGCTGTCATAACAAAAGCCAAAATAGAGTCTTTTCCTTGGAACTAGTGGTAGCCAGAGGCTGGAAGAGTTGCTTGGAGACTCTCCATAGAGGCCAGAAAAAACAATGAGGAAATTTCTAGTAGGTACTGGAAGAAGAGCAGAGTTTTGGTAACAATGTCACTGAAAGTAATATGGAAGCTAGGAAATGTACCTAGTGCAGTTGTGAAGCTGGCTAAGAAAATTTCCCCAAAGAATGTTGAGTGTCATTTGCCACTGTATAAGCATGTATGATAAGGCATGAAAATTGAGCTGAAGAAGAAACACTTTAATTTTCAGGCAGAACTGAAGGGAATAAAGGAGTCCCATAACAGTTTCTCCAGCTTGCCAAACTATGTCAAAGAGGAAAATGACCTCAGGAGGAAAAAAAAATCAAGTCCAAGATGCCACTGATGAAATATGACCTCAAGGTCAAATGTAAAGATCCAGTCAAGGATGTAGCTGAGGACCCTTTGTTAAGACCTCCGAAAGATTTAAGGTGGTGACTTATTGATCATCCTCACAAGGCAAAGGGCTTCTAAGAATCTGAGGACATTGTTCCCAGATCCTGAGTTTCTGAAAGTAGAGAGGAATCATGAACATGACTTTGTGGGCATGCCATGAACCTGAATAATATGTATAGAGACTTGTCTATGCTTCAAATACAATTTTACTGGTAAAATGTACTGCCAGCTTGAGGTAAAGGGACAGAGTTAAAAAAAAATGCCTCTTGACCTCCAATGCAGCATAAACAGGAATCAAGCTGAGAAAGCTACTCAAGTACAAATGTGGGGCATTTATTAGGGAAAAGGAAGGATGGCTCAGAGGGTCAGAGGAGAGAGAAAAGAATCAAGAAGAGCAATGGATTAGCTCATAAGGACTAAACTAGGCTCTAATAACAAAAAATCCTCTGTTACTAGAGTAGGAGGTCCTCATGTTATGTGCTCAGATAGATTTCAGAATTTCTATGTGCTAATTTCTGGTTATTTATATATGCCCTTCATTACCACCCTCACCTCTTTTTTTGAAATATATATATTTTTTATTGATTTCAGAGAGGAAGGGAGAGAGAGAGAGAGAGAAACATCAATGATGAGAATCATTGATCGGCTGCCTCCTGCACGCCCCCACTGGGGATTGAGCCCACAACCTCGGCATGTGCCCTTGACTGGAATCAAATCTGGGACCCTTCAGTCTGTGGGCCAAAGCTCTACCCACTGAGCCAAACCAGCTAGGGCACCACCCTCACCTCTTTTGATTGGGAATGTCTAGGGCAGTTTTTCTATTCCTTATCATGGCATGTTGGGGATGGAGATGGGGATAATAAAATGTGTCTATTTAGTTCACAGGTCTTCAGATAAGGATGAGCTACACCTGAGGGGCCCCATCCACATCCAGACCTGACTTAAGATAACAAGATGCAGGGCTTGGACCTGATTATTATAAAGAGATGACACTTTTGAGGGAGATCATGAGATTATTTTGTACAGGAGAGGGTTGTGAATTCTTGTGGCCAGAGGGAAGATGGTGGTAGATTGTTTTTAAAGGATGGCTACCAGCAATTTCTCCCAAATGTTTACACATAGACTATTCCTTTAGCAAATTAGACCTGAGCTTCAGACTGATACATGGAATTAGGCTAGTGGTGTCAAAATCACCTAACCTTGTGACTTAAAAATGAATGGGATATAGATGTGTTCCAAGAGGAGATTAAGGGTTCTATTAAATGCAAATAAATATAACAGTATCTAAGCAAAGTCAATCATCGTTTTTATTCTTTGGTCCTACATTCTTTGTCCAGGGCTACTCCTTCTTTGGAATTGCAAACAATATTTAAGTGCTACATGGCCTACGCAACTTTTGTTTCTGGATCTGCATTGAAGTGGGAGGATCTGAGGCGAGTTGGGGTAAGAACTATTTTTTCTTTCTTCTTTGTAGTTAACCTCAGCTACAACAGTGAAGATGATAGGATCTCGTCTCTTTCAAAGGCATTACTCCAGACCCTTAAATTTGGGAAAATACAACTTTCTCAATTTTAAAAACTAATCATGAAGGAGATGTAGTACTTGTCCTCCAGTTTTTCCTTGACAAATATCAAGCAGACTTCACTGTTTATATAAACGTATAGTTAAATTATTTATTTCACTAAGTTCTCTACCTACAGCAGTTTTATTTTCACAGTCTAAGAGATCTGAAAAAATTATGGATAGTAAAAGTGTGTTTGATCTTACCATTCAAATGCGATTCGTACTAGAGAACAGATTTACCAATTTCTGAGCACACTGATGTGACTTCTGATAGCAGAGACATGAAGGAAAATAGCAGAGATCCCATTAAGGTTGGAACTAACACTAATGATTAAAGGCCAACCCTCTAGACAGCTTTCATTTAAGATCAAAGCCAGCTTTCTCTCATTTTATAGGTTTCACAGAATCATAAAAACCAAAAGACTTCAGTTTTTTAAAGCAGAGATCTATAATGTTCATGTAAAGAATTAAAGCAGAAAATTATAGACTCAGAATAATCTTCATCTTCCCTGCACTTTGGTTTTATAAGCCACATCAGTAATTTTCTAGAATCTTAAGGTTTAGGTTCCACAGGTATTGAATGACTGCTTACTTTGAGTTAAGCAGACTTTCAGTTCCTCCATTCTTTGCTGTCCTGAAAGGCAAACAAGTATACAGAAAATGGCTTTAAAAGATCATATTACTTATCAGCAGGCATAAATTGATGGTTGGGATGATAGGAAAAAGTAACTATGCACTTTACCCATTTTAAAGCAATCTAGCATCTATGTTGGAGACCTTGTGCCCTAGTCGATTCATCCAGTGTAGCCCTCACAGCCCTTGCAGCATTTGCAGGACTATGATTCTGATGTAATTGCATCCATATCAGAACTCCTTCCCAACTGTGTTCTCTTTCTTATTGGAAGTTTTATGAAACACACACACACACACACACACACACACACACACACACACACAACAACAACAACAACAACAACAACAAACAAACATAAGAAAAAAGTTTTCCCCACTACAGCATTCCCCAGGTAATTAATAAGATGGTTGCTGTCCAATCTTGAAGAATAGGTGGAATCTGCGGAAGCATGCCTGGTCATAGCCAACCCTTTGTGCAGCGATTCACATGATGAAGACACTTCAAACATCATGAGGTATGAAGCTGGCACTGTGGTATTTTATGATCCAATGCTGATATATTTCTGCCTCTTTTGAAATAAAGCCTGGTGCATAGGACTAAGCCGAAGATGTCACAGCATCTTTTTTGTTGTCCCCAGAAATGGTGCAGATGTATGAAAGTAATTTAAAATAGAGTATTCTTAATGTCTCTGGGCTTGTCCATATACTTTGCTGAATTTTCATATGGATAATAGCTATCTAAACTTGAAAAGCAAGCATACAGATAAGTGATAACTGTTCAGATAGCATCATTATAACTAACATCCTCTTCTCCTCAAAAATAGAGATGTTATTAGTGATATGTGAACCCTATTAGTAGACTTTACTTATAGTTTTGTCCCCCCCCCCCCGCCTTGCCAGTAGTTCTGGTGAAAAGTTGTGCATGGTTTAGTATGATGTGCTTGTGACTATTGGAAATTATGTTAAGGTGTCTAGAACTAGTGTTACCATCTTTAATTGTGAATTATCTATGAGCAGGAACTTGACTTGTGGTAATAGATTCCAACAATCCTTGTGATAGCAATGGCTTGGTTCCTAACCCAGGTAATCTTCTGCCCCCCCCACCCCCCGCCAAGGCAAAATAAATAGAAATAGCTGAAGGTGATGCTACAAAGAGTTAGAAACAGCTGAGAATGTTCACCATGTATAATATAGTAAATATGAGACAGACTTTAGTTTCTTAATTTGTAAACTAAAAACATTGGAAAAGAGAGTCTATGAGCTATTTAAAGCTACAAACAGCAATACAATATCTACATTTTTCTTGTAATTAATGTGTTTGAGTTTGAAGGCTAAAATATAGACAAAATGATTTATTTCCTTTTCAAAAATTAGTCCCAAAAGACCATAATCTCCGAATACCAAGAGCTGACCTTTCCATAGTTTTATTTTACTAAGTCACTAAAACAACTGCCACCTTCAGTGGGTATTCTATTAAACAGAACATTTTTAGAGAATAGTATAACAATGAAACTTATAACATGCCATTTTATTATGCTTTCCCAGATATCAATTTAACACTGAATTGAATTATGTTACAAAACCACTGTATGTGGGCCTTCACTGATGAACATATTTGTTGTTTATGTAGGGTACTCTCTATCAAGAACTATCACCCTGATACCAGAATCATCATACAGATACTTCAATCCCATAATAAGGTATTGTTTCTTTCTAGCCTATCTAGTCTGTAGACCTAGATGAATTTAGTTGATCTACATAATAGATTAATACTTCCAAATGGTTTTGCACCTGAAAAGTTTTTGACAATTGTGGGTGACATTCAGAGTCTCATTAAGACTGTTAATCATTTGTGAATGTAAATTCAGAAAGAGGTATATTTGCATACTTTAAAAGCTTCTGCCTAATGGTATAACTTCCAATCAGCTTGAATCTAAGTGATAAATGAGATCCTTTGCTTTGGGACACTGACAGGGACACTATCAACTACCTGGAGCCTCTAAAACTAAAGTAGGCTGATTAGGCAATTACAAAAGTTTGAGTGACAACCAAGAGCTAGTTCAGGGTTGATTAATAAGGTTCATCTTCTACACAAGGACATTCCTTTAAGAGAGGCCAACTAACCAGGAGAGGTTGATGTTTTTTCTAATGCAGAAAGCCAACACAGAGAGTAAAGGAAAATGAACAAACAGAAATATGTATTTTCAACAACAACAAAAGTATAAAATCTCAGAAAAATGCCTTAATGAGAGATAAGTGACTTACCTGACAGAGAGTTTAAAATAACTATCATAAAAATGTGACTGAACTCCAATGGAAGTGAAAAAAAAGCCAGGGTAGCAATACTTATATCTGACAAATTAGATCTCAAAGTGAAGGACATAAAAAGAGATCAAGAAGGCCACTTCATAATACTAAAGGGAGCAGTCCAACAAGAAGAAATAACTCTGGTAAATATATATGTACTCAATATAGGAGCACCCA